TCACTTTCTATATTTTCATTTTCTTCTTCATATTCTTCAGGGAATGCTTCACGAGCTGTTCTTTTTGACATGACAAACTTTTTGATTTGAACTTTTTTTTCAAACCCTAAGTACATGAAAAAATATGAAACAATCTAGTGTTATTAACATCATTTGATAATGGAATTATCTGAAAGAGTTCCACCAATTGGTCTTGTTAATAATTCTTATAATGGATGTTATGTCAATAGCTGTATTCAACTTTTATTTTCAATGAAGTCTTTTGTTTCTTATTTATCTTTTAATCCTCCAAATAATGAAATATTACAAAGAATCCGCTTACTTTTTGTTGATTTAATAAATACTACTCTTCAAAGTATTAATACGTTCTATTTCCTTGATTGTTATAATCCACAGTATGGAGACCCTAATGAATTTCTTGTCCAAGTATTAGAACAGTGCGAACAGTGCAATTGTTATGAAATGTCTTTACAATGTGATATTAGTTGTGAATGTGGAAAAACTGATACTGTTATTTCAAAAGAGCCTGTATTGCTAATTAGAAATAATGGTATTCAACTTGACTTATCAACACAGCTCTATTCATCATTGTTTAGAGAATTTCATTGTTCTTGTGGAAGAACAGTTAACGTTCAACTAAAATCATTGAATTCTCCTCAATATCTCATTATAAGTGTTGAAAACATCAAAATAGTAAATAACAAAATTGAGAAACAAACAAAAAGTATTTCTCAAAATAGAGAAATTACATATAACAAAACAAAATATTCTCTCAAGTCAATGATAACTCATATAAATGGATACGATAATGGTCATTGTAGGAATTATGTTAAAATACAAAATAGGTGGTACTGTTGTGACGACACTAATGTATATCCATGGAACGAACGTTTGTCTTATTTAATTTTAATATAAAACTTTCATATTAATGAAATGCTAGAATTAGAAGAGAAAGTAAATGAAGTTGTAACAACATTTTTATTTGAAAAAAAGGAAGAAGAACCTCAAAGCAAACTAATCATATCTCAACAAGCAATACTTGATTATTATCTCTTTCTAAAAGAAAAACAAAATAATTAAAATTATTCTTAATTTGCTGACTTGATTGACAACATTTGTTAAAGAACCATGTGTCACCAAAGCCAAAATATCTTCTTCGCAACAATAAAATAAAGAAATAGCTAACTACTAAGTAGTTATTTCTGCAGAGCGAAGTGAATAAACTGAGATAACCTAATTCTTAAATATACTATAAGTATAGTAAATAATATTATAATAAAACTATAATAAATAATAAGGGTTTACATAATTCTTAAACAAAAAAGAAAAACATAAAAAAGAAATACTAAATAAATATTTATTTTCATGAGTCATCAACAAAGAAAGAAAAATAATCATCAATTTGAAGATTCAGATCTTTTACTTAATGATAGTGATTCAGATGTAGAAAAAATCTCACCAAAAAGACCGTCTGACAAATTAGAAAGAATACAAAGAAGTCAAAAGATTGCGACTCAATCAAAAAAAGGTGATCTTACACCTGAAGAAACTAATTTATTAGTAAATGATATAATGAGAAAGGTATTGGCTTATCAAGTATCAAAGAAAATATTAACACGTGATGACATTGCAAAAACTGTTTTTGCAAAATACAAAATAAGCCCAAGAAATACATTTAAAAGTTGTATGGAAGAAGCCTCTAATAGATTAAAAAAACAATTTGGATTTGAATTAAAAGAAATTAAAAGTGGTAATTCAGGAAAGTCTGTTTATATTCTTCTTGATGGAATTCAAGACACTGAAGAACCAAAGACATATGCAGTAGAAGGAATGACTAATTCTATGATTATTCAACAATCAATTACATTTATAATACTTTCATTAACAATGCTTAATGGAGAAGCAATATTTCAAGAAGTTTTAATTCAATATTTAAGAACGTTAGACATATGTTCTGTTCCAGAACAACCGTCATTAGAATTTTTTATTGATAAAGTATTAACAAGACAAGGATATTTAAGAAGGATTATTATTCAAAATGATAATGGATCAAAAACAATAAAATATTCTTTAGGTGTTCGTACTTATGCAGAACTTGGTAAAGATATGTTATATTCAAAAATTGCTCAAATACATGGGGAAGAATTAGGTGAAAGTGAACGTTCTATGTTTAAAAAAGAAACTGAAAGATTTTTAACAGAAAATTATGATGAAGTTGAAGACGCTAACTTACTTGATAATGACGAAACAATATAATTAGAATTATTTATAATTATTGATTCAAATTGAATTAATTTTAAATGAAAAAAATAATTTGTTAGTTTGGAAGTATCATTTCAGGGTTCATTGCAAGAATAACTTTTGGTGCAATATAAACTACACAAAATCCACCAACAAAACCTGAAAAATATGCAAGTGGAATTTCAGCTGTATATTTTAACATTGTTTTATCACATTCATATTCATTAATATTATCTTTTAAACAATGAATTCGATATTTACAACAAAATTGTTCTATTCTACGAAGAAGGTTATTAACTTTTGCACTTTTTTCAACTAACTTCATAATAATATTTGGTAAAATAAATCCAATAGTTCCAAATAGACTCAAACATATTGATATAGCAACAATATACTCTAATATAAACTTTGGAAGTCTATGTATTTGATAAATAATATATTCCTTCATTGGAAGAATATGTGTTGTAAGTGTTTGCATATCAAATGACATAACTACTGAAGCAGCAAATACACATCCACAAATCATTGCAGTTCTTCTTGGTGTTGGATTATATTCTTTACATCTTGGCATTAAAATAAGAATAACAACATGAATCATAAAGAATATAGGAAGCATTAATGGCAATGAATGAATATACATAACGGTTTGATAAAAATTCACCATAAATATAAGATGAATAAATCCAAATAACATTCCACAACAAACATCAGCAGGACTATGAACTCCCATATACATTCTACTAAAAGAAACACAAACAACGTATATTATAAAAATTATACGATACTGAATACTGTCAGTTAAAGCAAATACAACAAATCCTGTATTAGCAATTGCGTTAATAGTATGTGTACTAGGAAATCCAAAATCTTTTTCAGGAACTGGAGCCCATAAACCCTCTCCATAAGGTCTAGGTAAGCCAAATAAATTTTTAATGAAATTACCAACAAGAATATTAAAACAACAAGTAAAAGTAATTGCAATAACTGTCATAACATAGTCTGGATGTGGATAAAATAATATAATTGTTGGGAGAACAGCAGCATATATACCAGTTCCTGCAACAAGAGTAATGAACAAAAAGAAACAATCAGTAATCCAATTTCTTTTTTTTTGAAGAGAAGCAATAAATGGAATTGTGTTATGAACAAATTCTGCAATAATTTTACGTAGTTCAGCACAAATAACAATCATCTACAAAACCAAAGAACTAAATTTTGACTAATATAGTAATAGGGTTTTTTCATTTGTCAATAAAGATTGTATGAAGAAAAATGATATGATTGACAAAAAACATAATCACTAAGAAAAAACTTCATTTATTCAATTAAATCTAGAGCAGATGGGAAAGGTGCGTCATCTTTTTCTATTTTGCTTAAAACAGATTGGTCAATAGATTGATGATTCAAGTTGTCAGACTTAAATCTTGAAAGAATAGCATAAATAGTACTTCCAGTCAAATGTGGAAGGGTTTGTTTTAATCCTTGATAGTCAAATTTATCTGCTGAGTGATCTAATACCAATAATCCACTTACTTCAATTGCTGGTTGAATGTATTTTCTGTAAGGACTTAATTTTTTAATATCAGACATTTCAGCTTCCATAATACTAAAGAAGAATTTTAATTGAAGTCCTTTAGCACAATTAACTAACTTATCATTTTCTACAAGAAGTTCAATAACATGAATTGCAATATAACTTACAACTTGTTTCATTAGTTGTTGTACTAATTCTTCTTTAATACCCATAGACTCAAGTTTATTCAAAATATCACTTAAATATTTTGGAACATAACCAGCAGTAACTTGTTCAAATTCAGCTGCTTTTCTTCTTTCAAAACATTGATTATCTTTCATCATACTTTCAAGGAAACCATTAAGTTTCATAGTAGAAGCAACAACAACCTTAATAAAGAAGAAATATTCAAGATCAAGAAGTTGAGTATTAAGACTACCATCACGTTCAACTTTTTTAACAATATAATTATTTGAAAGATTTGCAAATGTTAATAACATATACAATGCATTATCAAAAGTATTATCTCCAACACTCTTTAAATGATCAAGTTCAATAATTTCATTATTTCCTTTTAATAATACTTTAATTTCATTTGCTAAAGAAGGAATATTATTTTCATATTTGTTATTATATTTAGCATATCTAATCATTAACTTTTTAATTAACTTTCCATTCTCTTTTTTCTCATTCTCTTCTTCATCTGAGGAAGAAGATGATGATTTATCTTTTTTATTAACTTCTTCAGATGATTTTTGAAGTGAAACAATAACAACTTCTTTTTCTGCTAATTCTCTTTCTTTTTTATTATTCTCTTCTTTAAGTTCTTCAATTTGTTGTTTTAATTCTTCATTTTGATGTTTCAAACCTTCTTTCTCCTTCTTTTCATTTTCTATAATATTACTTGAATTTTCTTCAGCACTAGAAATTTGTTCTTTTAATTGTTTGTTTTCTTTGGACAAAACTTCCTACAAATAAGTTATTAAATGTTTACTCCTCTAAAGAACTAGCTTACTCATAAGAATATTTGATTAACAACAATACGCTATTCTTTGATTTAAACTAACTCCTTATAAAGAATAGCTAATATTTATTAACATGTAATATAGTCTACAACAAGATGACTAAATGATAATAAAATTTTATTATTATCAAATAACCAAATAATATTAATTATCAAATATTCTCCCCTCAACAACTCAAACAATAATAAATAACTCATTAAACCCTCAAAATAAATAACTCAAGACAATCCTCAAAAACTCATTAACACACACTCACCTCATATATATAATAAAAAAACAAACTTTTTCTTTTTTAATATTGTCTATTTCTTCATTCTTTTGTTTCAATAATTCTTCAGAACCTGAAGCAGCATTCTTTTCAGTTTCTTCTAATTTCTTTTGTAATTCTTCAAGTTGACCTTTTAATTCATTATTCTCTTTCTCAGAATCATTAACTTTCTTTTCTAATTCTTCTACCTTTTGTTTTTCATTATTCTTTTCTCCTTCTAATTCTTCTACCTTCTTTGATTGTTCTTCTTTCTCTTTTTGAATTTCTTCAATTTTCTTTGCTTGTTCCTCCTTTTCTTTTTCTAATTCTTCACCCTTATTCTTTAACTCTTGATCTTTCTTTTCAACTTCTGCTTTAAGTGTAGCTTCAGCAGCAACTGAAATTGCTAAAGAAGCTTTAACTTCTTCTTTTTCTTTCGTTTCTTCTTGAACCTTCTTATTCAATTCTTCAATTTGCATATCTTTTTCTTTAACTGCATCTTCCTATAAATGATTAGTGTCATAATTCAAATTATTTATTATTATGAAAGAAATGAGTGTGTGTAGATAATAGAATTTATTATATTGTTATGGCAAGAGAATTGATTGATTAAAGAGATTAGTTATTAGAGGAGTATATTCAAAATTAAACAAACTATTTCTTTATCTTTTTCAGCTTTAAGAGCTTCTATTTGAGCTTTCAAAGCAGCAACTTTTTTATGATGTTTTTGTTTTTTTTCTGCAAGAGCTTGCTCAACAGCTTTGTCAATGTCTTCTTGTTTGTATTTTTTCTTATCCTTATCTTTTTTACCTTTAATTTTAACATCAGACATTGACGCTGCAAACAAACTCTTTTCTTTTGCCTTATCTGTTTTTTCTTTGGATTTATCACTTGAAGTAGCTGCTTCTTTTTGTTGTTCTTCTAATTGTTTTTGTCTTGCAGCTTCTTCTTGTTCTTGAATTTCTTTTTGTTTTCTTTGTTTTTCAACAAGTTCTTCTTCTTCTTTTTCTTCATCAACAATATCTTTCTTTGACTCTTCAGCTTTATTCTCTTCTTTTTCAATTTTTTCTTCTTTTTTAATCTCATGATTCTTTTTGTCAACTTGTTGTACAAGTAATTCATGAATATCTGTAGTAGCAGCAATATTAGATGACTGATTCATATGAAGAACTTCTGTTTCATCAGAACTTCCACCAGCTTCACCAATAAGAGAAGTAATTTTCATATCAACTGTGGCTGGAACTTTTCCTTTTAGAGGAAGAGAAATATCTTTACCAACACCATTTAAGTCAGCATAATGTGCTAAGTCAACATATCCTTTACAAAGCTCTTTTCCTTTTTTACCAATAGAATGAAGAGAAACTTCAAGTCCTTTTTCTTCATAACCATTCTTAGTAAGGAATAAAGTACAATGGATATTTACAGTTTGAACAGGAGAATAAAGGACATTACTACCATGGACTTGAGCCTTTTCAATAGATCCTTTATTTTCTTTCTTTTCACCTCTTCTCCACTTTAGGACAACTTCAGTACCTTCAGGTACCCCAATACCAGATATCTGTTTAAATTCAATAGTATAATCTTGTTTAATATTCTTCTTAAGTAACGACTTCATTTGAAACCTAATAATATTGAGTTCTCTTTATATAGTAAAGTTCAGAAAATTAAAAAAGACTAAAAACAGAGTATTGTAAACCATTAAGTACTTTAAATATATTAATGTTACTATAAATGGTATTTCAATTTTATTTTAATTTTATCTTCATTTTGGAATAAAAAAAATATAACAAATTAATAATATTCAAATTCAATTACATTGTATTTGTTTATTCATACTTTTAAATCGTCTGGTATTTTCATCTTTTTCTTCATAACTATTTTTTCAGTAAAAAGCATATCATCGAGTCTAAAACAGGCAAATGTGGAATGGTCCATTTTACCTCCAACAAATGTTTCAATTTTTTTTACTTTACATTCTCTTGCAAGTTTTGTTTTTTGTATAATAAAATTATACAAATTAAAACAAAGTTCTTCTAATGAGTCATTAAGAAACAAACTCAAAAATGATGAATAAAATACTTCTTTCCGTTTTTCCCAATGCTCTAAGTTATCATCACTCCATTCTAATCCACTTAAACCACATTCTTTAGGAGTTTGATAATATGTTTTAATATCAAAATTATCACATACACCATCTGTCATTAATGCTATAACACTTCCTGCACTACAAAATTTAATTCCACATTTGAAATTATCTAACTCAGGATAATCACCTTCTACTGGTCCAAGCCTTCCTCCAGTTGTTTTAACATCAACCCTTCCTGAATAATCATCAATTAATTCATTTACTACTGCCGTTCTAGGATCAATAACAAGTGCTCGACAATCACCAATATTACAATACATACACGCAAAACTTGTCCCAGTTCTTAAAACTACTACCCCAAGAAATGTAGTTAGTCCAGCATCTGTAGATAATTCTTGGGTTTGTAAAATTGCAGTTTGGACATAGGCAATTGCCTCCACAATTATTTTTTGTGCTTTGGCAAGTGTTTTCGTTTTTGGAATTTCTACAGAAACATATTCAGTAAATTTTTCACAGGCAACATGTGCAGAAGTTGCTGGCCTTTTTCCCATTCCGCATCCATCAGCAATACAAAATACAGCAAAGTCTTTATAAATATTTGCTGTAGTACAATCAGCAATTGGTTTACCAAATTTTTCACCATTTAATACTGGATAAGTACTAAAACTAACATTTGAATATCCTTTAACATACGTTGAATAATAAGCTTCAGGTGTAACTTCGTGATGAGGAGAAACGAGATTGAGATAACAAATGTTTGTATCTGGTTGAATGAACAAAGTTTTTGGTGGTTCTTCAACTTTTTGTTTTTCGTATGCCATTCTAATAAACTTTAAAATTGTTTTATCTATCTTTTGACATAATGGATGAAACATATCAAAAGGAAGAACAGCTAATGAATCTATATTGAACATTGAATTAGTCAATTGAAGGTTCTTTATTTTTTCTTTTTTTAAAAAAAAAGAAAGAAAATTATTTAAATTTCGTTTAAATTATCACTTGAAAATTCAACTTTTTGATTGGCACAAAACTGATAATAGAACTGTTAATTCATTCAAAATGTTATTTTTATTTTTATTTTTCATTACTCCTATTCTTTGTTATGATTCTATTTCTTCTTCAATTTGTGTTAATACATCATTACCACAAAAATCTACTTTTGCTTATTTTGTTCAATCTTGGCCAGGCACATTTTGTATGGATCAATCTTGTCATTCTATCACTCAGATTAATGAAGGTTTTACTATTCACGGATTTTGGCCACAAAAAACAGAAAGTACTTATCCTGAATGTTGTTTCACTTATTGGAAAAATGAAGAAATTACTCAATATGTTCAAAGTCATGAATGGTTATTAATGAATCTACGTTATTATTGGCCTGGATTAAAACAATGTTCATTTTTTAATTATGAATATTTAAAACATGGTACATGTATTCCATCAATATCCCATGGAGAAGATGGTCCTCAGTATTTTGCTGATATTGCATTAGGAATTGCAAATAAAACAAATGCATGGAAAATAATGAAAGAAAAAGGTATTAAAGATGATTCAATAACTCAATATTCAAAAGAATATATACGTTCTTTATTTAAAGAGATTTATGGTGCAAATCCGTTATTATTTTGCTTTGGGAATTTTTTTGATGAGTTTCGATTATGTAGTGATATTCCCTCATTTAATAGACGTTCTCATCCAAAAATTTTTGATTGTGACATTTCTTTTAGATATTTAGAGACATGTAACAATTCTATTATATTTCCAAAATTCCCTAATTATACCATTAACTCAACTTGTCTTTATTGATTTTAAAAAATATTTATTTTTTAAAAGAATTCAATTAATTCTTCATTTCTTCAATTTCTTTATCAAGTTGATGGACTTGTTCTTCTAATTTACTTAAAAATTCCGAGTCTTTAGCTAATTCAGCTTTATATAATTCATTATTCTTAACAGCAGCCTTATATAATTTCTCTAATTTTTGTCCTTGTTTCTTTCCAATTGGTTTACCATCAAGTCCAACAGTAGGAATAATTCCATTTTCTGGTTTTGGATATTCCTTAAATAAATCATTTGGATCTGCAGCCCAACTCTTGTAATTACTAATCTTTTTAACTAAATCAGCTCTTTTACTTTGTTTCTTTTTAAGTGCTTGTTCATGAGCAACCTTTTTCTTTTCTTCAATAGAAGCAAGAATTTCTTCAGGATTTCCTAATTTCCAAGCAGTTTTACCATCATCTTCAACACGTACACCGACTTTTGGTAAATCTTCATCTCTAACTTTATCACATAAATTCAATATATTTGTATTTTTAGATTTAATAGCTTCTTTTCTAACTTCTGTTCTAAATGAACACCATGTATCTAATAATGGGGCATTATCAGATGATGATGATACTTGTTTCTCTTCAATACCAAATACTTTTAACATTTTTTGAATATAATATAAAGCTGATCTTAATAATAATGTACTTGAAGTTGATGATAAATATTCATTACATTTACGAATTAAAGCAAAGAGATGGTTCATAGCTGTAGCAGTATCAAAATTATTACATAATGCAGTATGAATACCTTTTCTTCTTGTTTCAAGAGTAGCTAAAAAGTCTCTATCCTTAGCATCAAGAGGAGATCCTTTTAATGGTGCATTCAAAGCACTATGCATAGTTGCAAAGAATTCAACAATAGTTTTTTCTTTAGAAATAGCCTCATCTAAAGCAGAGTCAGAGAAATTAATGACTGCATCCCATGATTGCATCAAGAATAATATTCTTAATTGCCTTGCACTATATTTTTCAAGAGCTTGTTTGATAGTAATAAAGTTTTTAAGAGACTTAGACATTTTAAGTCCATTAATATGAAGATGTCCAGTATGAAGGAAATATCGTACCCAACTTTCTTTTTTATTAAAATATGCTTCTGACTGTGCTAATTCATTTTCATGATGTGGGAATTTAAGATCTTCTCCTCCTGAATGGATATCTAAAGTATCTCCAAAAACATTTGAAGCCATAGCACTACATTCAATATGCCAACCTGGTCTTCCTGGACCCCATTGACTTTCCCAACTTGGTTCACCTGCTTTTGATTTCTTCCATAATGCAAAATCATTTTTGTTATGTTTCTCTCCATCAGCTGGGGCATCTACGTCACCAACACTCCATGGTTCTAATCTTCCATATGTCATTCCAGCCTTTCTAAAAGAAGCTGTATCAAAATAAACACTTCCATTTGATTCATATGCATAACCATTATCAATAATTTTTTGAATAAAAGCAATAACTTCTGGAATAAATTCAGTAACACGAGAAATAACATCTGGTCTTCTAATTCCAAGAGCATCACAATCAGCAAAGAAAAGTTCTTCATATTTTCTTGCATGGACTCTTGCAGCTTCCTTCATTTCTATAGGGTCAACAGACTCTTTTTGTCTAACATCAAGATATTTACCAATAACATCAGTCATACGAGCAAAAACTTCAACGGTATTTTGTCCATTAAATGAGTCAAGTGTTGGAAATACTTTTTCATATTCTTCTTTTTGAGATTTAAATAACGACAACATAGCAGCATCTTTTGTTTCGCTCATTTGTTTTTCAATATTTTCTTTATGCTCATTCCATGCTTCTTTCATCATTTTAATTGTATCAGCAGTAACTTTTGGTGTAGCAGTACAATATTTAGAAATTAAAAGATTTTTTCTTGCTTTGAGAATAATTTTATCATCAACATCAGTAATGTTCATACATTGAATTACTTGATAACCAAAATAATCTTCTAATATTCTTCTAAAAATATCGGTAGAAAGATATGTTCTTGCATGTCCAAGGTGACTATCATCATAAACAGTTGGACCACAGCAATACCATCTAATTGGTCCATTGCAAACAAAGTTATCAAGACTATCTCTTTTAAGAGTGTTATGAACTCTGAGTGTTTCAGTCATTGTTAATTTAGTTAAAACTAAAAACAAAAAAAAATTCTTCCTTAAAAACAAAAAAGGGTTTTTATTTTTCAGTTAAAATATAATTATAAAAAATAAGATGAAAGTATTTTTTTTATTAAAAATAATAAGAAAAATATTATAGTAATTTAACAAATTAAAATACTTTTTTATTTATTTTATTCTTATTTTTTTTCTTCTAATTTTTCATTCTCTT